ACCTTCATACATACATCCCAAACATACATTTGTAAGAGTCGCCAACCAGTTCTTGATTCAACATTTGGAAGTGTGCGTGGGTGTATGAGTGAGCTGTGAGCCCAACACATGTACGACGTGACCCTATGAGAGAATCGTCTTAAGATACTTCCGGGTTGAGATTTAGAGGTTTCAAAATAAAGTTACCGATTTATTTTGGAGATGAGTAAATGAAGGCATGGGTTTTAGATGTTATTAAAGTCTTTAGATGGAAACTTTTTACTGGGATTCTCGAATTTCCAATATCTTTATCTCTTGGACTACATTGTAGTTATTCTTATTGTCATACATTGCGTATAAACTAATGACAAGTGTATATATCCTAACGGTTGATCTTTAGATGCTTGCCCTAAGACCCCAGAGAAAATAAAACCTAATATTTTGATAAAATTCGAAACTAGTTGAGTATGTTATAATTATAAGCAATGAAATAGTAAAACCAGTGAAGGCTATCGAGTATCGACACTGTTTATTACATCTTCTGTTTTTTACCAATTCGCGGGCTCAGCCACGCACATAGATCATCTATCACCATAGACTATATACTATGACCATAGAGTATACCACAGATACACAAAAAAATCAAAAGCATTAGTCGTTTCAAAAGTACCAAATTATGGTTTAATTGAAGTATTTACTTCAATTAAACCATAATTTAATCATAATCAACAAATATAAAAAAAAATAATAATAATCTGTCAGTCTAGTCCATCGTTCCAAAATGCAGATTCGAGTGGAGAAGAACGAGCAAGAAACTCCATTCCTTACTTTTTTTTTCACAATAGTTTTTACACATACCTACCAAAGCTCACAGAATTGAATGTCAAATGTAGGTACATCCATTTTTTAGGACTTATCTGTATTATGAGTGTGACCAATCTGTTGTAACTTGTAATAATTAATATTATTATAAAATTATCTGTATGATAAGTTTGTTATCTTTATAAGTCTTAATATGAGTAAGTAACTAAAAAGAAACATACCCGATTTTATCTTTATTGTTTACCTCATTGGTCAAAGAATCGTAAATTTTACCTTATTTTTTTATGGGGAGAAAATCATCGAATGACTTCTCTCTACCTGGGTCCTCACCCAGGGAGTGTCAGACTCTTACTGACTAAAAACCACCCCGTGCATTCTCCTGCACTTCGAGCCGGAGCCCCGGTAACCCGTAAGGTTCTCCGCGGTTCCGAAGTTTTACCTTACGGGGTCGGGGTGAAAGGCAGAAGATTGACTTGGCTCCACATTCAAGTAGACGGGTCACCATGGAAACCCGTAACGAATATTCATGTTATAACTTTCGTGAGACATACTAAATTGATTCTTATGTTTTTCGGCTTACTCACGTAATTATTTGACAAGGAACTTGACTAGTTTCAAGCCATGCTAGAGGCTCATAGTCTGCGACTAGAGTAGTCAGTAGCAGCGCAACAGTCTTCGCGTTGCGGGTCGCGGAATGTTGCTCATGAATATAAGCCTCTACTATGACTTGAAACTAGTCGAGGTTCCCCTCCATAGATGCTAAATAGTGCTACTGGTCAACAACAACAGAGGCAATGCAAATGAATTCGGGCCTGGAGAAGACAAATGGAACTGTCAGCTATGTATGGGGTCTGAGATATAGAAATATACCCTGTGATTATTTTCAAATTGATGGATTAAAGTCTCAGTAATATCACTGACGCCTGAATACTAAAAGGTTACTCAATTTGAAGTCTAATATTAAGCCATCTCTGTTATTTTACAAAAAATTTAAAGAGACAGAACTATACTTAAAATTGAGTAGCGTTTGAGTATTTACCTACAATGGATGATGGGGATGATGAAGGGTATGAAAATAAAAATCTAATTAGTCCGTCAGCTAAGTAATGAAAAAATATTAGACACGTATTTTTTTATTTTGTCGTATAATAAAACAATACTTAAATAAAACGAATCAAAGTTTAGGAGTGGGAGCTAAAACGTCATTTCTAAGTATAAATGTACATAGAAGTGACGTCACGTGACATTTCAAATCAATATATCGTCGAAAGTATTCGTTTCTGTAAGAAAATAAAAAATACGTGTCTAATGATTAAAAACCATCTACCAGACGGACATTAAGATAAAAATTAGGCATCTACCCTATTTCGATCGGCCAGTCTCTGTCGATGGATTTAGATATTTAAGATTAGAATTTAGACAGATTTTGCATGGCTAATAGCCTGTAGACAGTACGTATTAATGTTAGTGATATAGGTAATATAGACATACAGGTTATAGAGACCAGTCGTAAAACAATGCAACCAATACTTTCAGCTGAGCACTGGCCTTTTTGCGCCGTTTTCACTGTTTTTCTTACTATACATTTTCGTGGTTCTGTATTTTTTTTCTCTTTATTAAAATATAATAAAAGTGCCAGACTCATTGTGACCTGTATTTTTTAACGGTGCAAATAAACTGCTTTTCATTCTTTATTTCTTTTTTTAAAAGTGGCGAAAAGCAAATAACTATAAGTACACACTCTTTCTAGAACATACTGGGACATTGTTTGAAAAATAAATTCAGTCAAAGTATAATTAAAGTTTATAATGAAGCGCTTGTTTTGTAGGTACTTACTGGGGCCCCAAACCTCAAACGATTACATATTTAGAAGTAAACAACAAAAAATATTAACAAACAACTGTGTTTGAACATTTATTTGTATTCATGCGTGTGACCACAGAGAAGAAATGAAAAATTAATGTTATGAACTAAAATATCAACGGCATCGTTTAAAATATCAGAAGGGTTATAGGAAAAAAGGTTTTTAACAGGTTAATCAGGTCAGTCTTTGTTAGAGGAAAGGCAAATAAAGCTACAAAATTTTAAATTAACCCTGAATATCCCATAATGGTTTCTCGCAATGAACTTTTAGATTTGCAAGAAAGAATAGAACATAGATGCTATAAGATCCAAATTATATGTCTTCACTACATAGTATAAAACAAAGTCGCTGTCCGCCGTCTGTCTGTCCCTGTGTATGCTTAGATCTTTAAAACTAGGTACGCAACGGATTTTGATGCGGTTTATAATAATAGATAGAGTGATTCTTAAGGAATATTTATATGTACAATACATACATATTGCACCCGTGCGGGGGCACGTAGCTTGTTGTCTATATAGTTTTGTATCTACATTAGCATGAAAAATATTTGTCATAAGAGAAAAAGAAAATATGTAAACAACGTTATCTAAACAAAATTACCTAAATGACAGTCGATTCAGTCCAGTACAAAACTACGTCAGTTTTGACGTTTAAATTTGTCATTCAGGAGTGGGAATAACATCAATTTATTAGTAAGATCTGTAAACACAATCTAATAAAATACACATAGCAATGTAACAATTATCATATATGTGTAGTTTCTTTTTTTATAGGTTATAAATACAGCTATAGCACTAAAAAGCCAATCTATCGTGCAGTCTAACACAATTATAGTCTGGAAAAAGATCCGTTCGATTTTCAAAATTGTGCACATCAAGGATTTAGTATCAAGAAAACAACGGTTGACCATTAACAATTTCGATAGTTCTTAGATTGACAATTGACAATAATATGGTCAGTATGTAATATAAATAAGTAATTGAATACTGTTATAATACTACTTGTATGATGTTTTAAGATATTACTAGCTGATCTCAAGCCGTAAATCTCTGAATCGATGTAACTTTTTGACGATTCGATGGAAATAGTTTTTTTTTTAATGGGACAAGCTCGCCACAACCTCCCAAACCGCTGCAACTAGGCAAACCTTTAAGCCAGGATCTACAGTAGTTACAACCATGAAAACACCGGAACACTGAAGTCCGGCGCGTCCCAGGGACATGAGTAACTGTCTTGGTTCCCGCAACGAAGTGAATTAGGAGATATTATACGAGGAGAAGAAAAAAACGATAGTTTCCACTTCCCTCGATGAATTACTGCAGGAGACAGAGTGAATTAAGCCTAAAGGCAATAGTGTCAAAAAATGTCATTATTTCAAATATTTAATGACATTTTAATTTTGATACTTTTGCAGTTGTAATCAGAGATAGTAATAGTCTACCGCAACATAAATAGTGTTGTCGATGCTTTGAAATTTTAGCAATAAAAATACAATTTGAATAAGACTCTAAATTAATCATTATACGTATATAACTAGTATCCAAATTATACTGGCATTTGTTTCTATCCTGACAAACTCGTATATTTGGTTCTTGGGAAAATCCTGTATTTCATTCTTTTTTTCTTCTACTACACGTAGACTGGATTTGAACTCGTTTTTTCTCGTAATCAGTAAAAAATCCATGTCATTAGGATTCATTTTTAATTAGCTTGTTTATCAACCTGGGAATCCTGTCTTGGTGGCTTGGAAAATTGTTTATGGGATTATTTGCTTTGAATGGACAAACAGACAGTTTCCCATGATACTTGAGGTGATTGCACGATTAGATTTCACTTATCTTCGAAACAGAACACATGGAATTTGCCAAGGGCCTAAAATAGTGCCTTGCGGCAGTCCCGTTTTTAGCTAATTAAACCTTATTCTATGGTTTGAGGTCTTGTAATTTATAAAATGAGCAATTGTAATTTAAATTGGTTGATAAATAAGATGAATTAGGTAAAGAAGTTAATAAATATATCAAAGAGATAGATTTATTGCCGCATCGCCGCAGCTAGAATGTTATTTTATCTATTTACGCTTTCCGTGTTTTCATGCCATTATAAAAAATCTAGAGTAATTTACTTCACTTTTCTAGTTATTAAAAAGTGAATAGGTAGTAACACTAACCCACATGTTAATGTTCATAAAAAGTTTTTTAATAAATACCTCACAAAATGTAGTTGTAATCACTTTCCGAATTCCACACAGTAGGAATTGGAATTGAGACGCGCCGGATTGGTCGACATCGATAACTATCTATATCAACAATAGGGTTTACCTAATCTGTTATACAATTTACGCCGCTCCTACACTCAACAAGTTGTATTTGTTCACGCTCATACTCATTTCAATCAATCTTTTGGCCGTAGTTACTAGGTGTATGACCAATTTTGAAGTTGGAGGTGTCAATGGATGGTTGAGCGCTGTTTTAACATGTTTTTGTTCGCTTACCTGATTCGTGAGCACATCAATAACAACATAGGCGAGGTAGACGATCTCCTCTTCGTCGGAGCCCAGCGCGGCACCGCCGAGGCCCGCCGTGCGCACGTGCAGAGCGCACACCCAGCCGCCGCTGATCATCGCGCCATGCACTGATACACCACCTCACAACAACACGCCCGCCACTAACTCCACAACCCTCAGCACTTGTCCTGCCCACACCTCATCAACAAACAGTCCACAGAGTGCCACACACTTTCTAACGGGACTCCAGTGGGCGAACCACCGAAAATTCACGTATACGTTGCTGTATGTTCGGTCGAAAGCACTTTTTAGAAACCTGACGGTTACTCAACATGAAACAAGAACTAGCGTGCGGCGCGGACGACGTTTTACCGCTAGCCGTCTACGTAAGCTGTTTCCGCTGTAGGTGAAAATCTAGAATTAACTCACATCACATAGCCACACCAAATCTAAGAGTCCAGTCGCTAACTCTATGGAAAGAACAAGCTTTGAACGGTGTCGATGAACGTTCCTAATTTGAATACCGTATTTGTCCACAGATTTTTAAAGATTTCACTTCGCGCGCTTTAACAACACTAGAGTACTTATTACGCGTCACTGTATAACTTTAACTTTGATATTCGTGGAATATTTTAAATAAAAAATTGTAAGACAGCTCGGGACGAGCGTGTCTGTCGGATCGTAGGATCGACTGCCGCCCGTTCGCTTGCCCCCCTGTTGACACTGCGCAGGTAGCGCCAGGTGAGCGACGCGACGTTGCCAAACCGACTATTATCAATGATGATGAGATAGCTGCTGCTTCTACCACGTCATTTCGAAATTCACGCATCGTTGCCAACGTAATAAAATGCTGTTTATACACTATTCTGTATCCAAAAGTTGCATTTTAGAGCATTAATGGAATGTGTCGTGGAGCAAGTATCGAGATTGTGTGGTCGTGGTAAATTGACGAGTGTGTACTTAATTATTTTTTTAAAAATGTTTATGGACATTTTGCAGTGTGAGTTGTTCAAGATACATTGCGTGCGCGGCACTGCGACCTCGTTACCGTAATGTTAGAGAAAGTGTAAATAGATGTGGTGTTATGCGATCGCGTTATTAGCGTTTACACAAATATAAGTCCGCGTGACAAGGTCGAGGATTAAGCAATTAATAAGTAAACGATAATTTTGTGTGCATTGCACCTTTTTCATTTAAATAGTCCAGTGCGGGCGACTCATTCAATAATTCAATTTATATTTCTGATTACCTGCATAGGTGCATTTTTTGTTTTGTTTACTTGAACAAAACAAATGCATAGCGCGGAATAATTATCAATTCAAAATCTGTGTACATAATCTGTTTCTTTAAATGAATTCATACACTCATTTAGTTTCTGGAATCCAAGATGGTTGTTGTATGGAACAGTCGTTTAATATGCGCCTAACGATTGGAAGTCACCGCAGGTCAATCAGTCAGCTAATTAAAATGCGTTTAACTTTGTTTTAAATACATAAAATATTTTTGTAGTGCTTCCATCTAACTGTCACGTGTTTATTTTATGTACCTAGGTACCTATTTCTTTAAAATTTGCCAAGACAGATAGTTTTCATAATAGTAGGTACCTAGGTACTTATTCATAATATTCAGATATGAAGATTTTTTTTTAAGTGGGGACAATCATCGAATTACTGCTCCCGTCTGGGTGAGGCGGGAGGGAGTGTCAGACTCTTACTGACTAAAAACCACCCCGTTCTTTCTCCTGCACGTCGAGCCGGAGCCCCGGTTACCCGTTAGGTTCTCCGCGACATATGAAGGAGATTTGGGAGTTATCTATAAATACCACGTTTGATTTTGATCATGCTATGTCCGAAGCCATTGGCCAAAAACTGCGACATTAACTTTTAGACGTTCGTTGATTAGTGTTTTTCTTATTAACACTTCATTCATACTAAATCCTAATCGCTTCTAAATGTTATTAAACGTGTTATTTCTAGTATTTTTTAGGTACATCATTATCATTAACATTAAAAACAATTAACATTAGCATGCAGGTTTAATATTGTTACAAGTACCTAATTGACATTGAGTCCTACAAAGTTAATTTATTTAGGTATCTAATTATCTATTGTGTTACCTAGGCTACTTATACCTAGGCTATGACATTTCGTACTTGGGCTGTACCTAGGTAGGTTCAAAAACATGTCATTTGTAATATTAGTCAATATCATTATGACACAGACTGCAACCCCTGTACCTAATGTCGAAGCTGTCGAATCAAAATCATGAATCTATCGGTATTGAACTCCTAAATAGCTGAACGAAATTTGATCAATATTTCTCGTTTCTACAGCATACACTCCTGAACATTATTTTGTCAACTGCAAACTGCTCTGTAAGTATTTGGCATAAATAACGGAAAATATAGTAAATGGCTTCATGTTTCAGGTATAAATAAACATATTTTCAATTTATTTTTTACTATAAATGTAAGTAAACATAATAATTAGGGCTAAAAATAAATACCATGCATCTAAAATCTAAACTGTTAAGAGTTAACACAGTTACTCGATAGATGGCGCTGATTCCAATAACTGATTCGCGAAACAAGTTCACTAAGAATTTTTTTACCTAAAAAAATATTTAAATAAATTAAAACATCAGAAAATTCAAGAATATATTGAAGTTTGAAATATTTTAGTTTCTAAGATACTGTATCGATGTACCTATGTAGTAAGTAGGTACCGAGAGTACTTAGGTACAGTGGCCGGCACATCAACCTTCTCCAATATGTCAATTTTTATCATTGGATTTTCGACTTTAAGTACATGATGAAGATAGAGTTGAAAATGTAATAAAGGAATTTGACAGAAAAGAGTAGATTGACCCGCTACCCACTACATATAAATAAAATGAATGAATGAATGTCACAATCATTTTGAACGCAACTTATGAAGGTCAATAATAAACATTGAAGGTTGCAAATATTGTCTATGTTGCTAGGGGACTTATGTCGGAATACTGAAACGCTACTCAATTTTAAGTCGTGCTTAAGTATAGTTCTATCTCTACAAATTCTTTGTAAAATGACAGAGATGGCACGATATTTGAGCACGATTTCAGTATTCCGGCATTAGGTACCTACCTCAAATACATAAGTACTTAATTATGTACACATAGTATTTTTTTTTAAGGTGGGAAAATCATCGAATAACTGCTCCCGCCTGGGTGAGGCGGGAGGGAATGTCAGATTCTTACTGACTAAAAACCACCCCGGTAACCCGTTAGGTTCTCCACGACTAATAATATTGATAAAAAGTTAAAAACAGTGACAAAAAAGACATGAGCATCGCCTCTGGTACCTAACTGTTATTTTATAACTAGACTAGCGACCCGCCCCGGCTTCGCACGGGTGCAATGCAAAATATACCTACTACAGAATGTCCTTATACACAACGTTCACAGCTTTTTTGTCATTAGCCAATACAAACATGTTTTGCTTAGACGTTACTCTTGACAGCGCGACATATAATTGGCCATGTGAAAAACACTCAACACTCAAGTCTAATCCTGCAACGTTAAAAGTTTGACCCTGCGATTTATTAATGGTCTGTTCAAAATTTTATACATAGGTACTCAGTACTTGATTAAACTCACAATTTAAAACTATACGTATGATTATGAACTAATTGCACTAATTATTGGTTAGTGCTGGAGTAAAAAATATTTACTTACTATTCGTTTGACTATAAACAAAAGATTATCAACAACAAAATATACCTATTCTATTCAGTTCTTCTATGAACTTAACTATAATTTTCAATAATTGAAAATGCTCGCCCTAATACTAAATTGTCTTAACTCTAAATTCAAATCAAAGTGTTAATGGAAGAAATACCAAGAAATATGATTTTAAAAGATAATCAACAACAAAAGATACTTATTCTATTCAGTTTAATTAATTCTTGATATTTTTCTCGCTAGAGAGCTCCGATAAACGCGTGCGATCGCTGCAAATCATAAAGTGCTATAAGGCGAAGCGCGGCCATCGACGCGCTATTTATAGGCACGCGCCGCCCGGCGCAAACAACTACGACCCTGCATTTTCAATTTGTAATATCTTCGGTAATATTCACTTAAATTACATGTTGTAAAAAGCATATTGATCTATAATAAATGCACAATTTATTTAAGGTACTTAAATGGATAAGGATTAATGCTGTATTGTTTAAAATCACTTCGTAAATAACCATTTTTTAGTAAAGAATAAAAATGGTTATGCTGGGTTATCCCTAAGAGATAGACATATACCATCGCGGACTTTTTTGTTGAACTTTTTAAGGTGAACAATACTGTAGTACATTATTTTGGTCTATCTCGTAGGGTTCAGCCAGCGTTTGCAATATAAGCGCAAAAAAACGTGCTTATTTACGACATCACCTTTAAATTTATCAGTGTTTCTCTACTATATTATGCATTTATTATACATACAAACCTTCCTTAAGAATCACTCTATCTATTAAAAAAAACCGCGTCAAAACCCGTTGCGTAGTTTTAAAGATGTAAGCATACATACGGACATACAGCGAAAGCGACTTTGTTTTATACTATGTATTGATGAACCGGCGGACTTTGTAATACATACGATCACGCCATTTGTTCCCGAAGTGGTGGGCAGAGGTACACATTATGGCACTTAATGCCACTGTACAATGTAACACCCACTTTTCACTATTTATGTTATGAGTCCCATGTACCTAATAAGGGTGAGCCTGCCTATTGCCATATACCGGGCACAATTCCAGACTCTGTGTTACTATTACTACTGAGGTTTTTTTAAAAACCCAATAATCGATTTGATTCGACAGTAAGGAGATTTGTAGGTTTTTAATCGAATTCCCAAAAAAGGAGGAGATTCTCAAATCGGCCGGTATGCTTCTGTTTTTTTTTTCTATTTTTTTTTTTTAAGTGGGGAAAATCATCGAATTACTGCTGGGGCCGGGTGAGGCGGGAGGGAGTGTCAGACTCTTCGGATCTTTCGGATATTTATGTGAATAACTGTGAAAGTTATTTTTTTTTAAACTGTTAGGTAGGTAATGGTTTTTACATCTAACTTTTTTATTTAAGGTAGGTGTAAA